GAACCCTTTGTATGATCAAAAGTAAGAGAAATTTAGGATAAGAATACAAACATGCTCTTGCATGAGGCCCATTGTTTTGATATTCCCATTACTTCCTGTTCTGATGCCATCTGTCCCACCCCCTCTTTTGTTTGCTGTTGGCAACGTGTTTGTAGCAGACTCGGTCATCAATTCACACTGCCCAATTATGTTCAGAAATTCAAACATGTTTGTTTGATATCACCTGAGGTCGGGTCTGGTTCCCCTCACACACAAGCCCATTTTGCTCTAGTAGCTGGAAAAAGGTTTTGTAATGTCCTCAGATTGATCTGAACAGTACTGACAGTAGTAGAACGCTGAGTGAAACTAATCTTGCAGAAAGGTAGTAATATACAATCTAAATAAACCGTAAAACCTGTGTTGTCTTTGTTCATTTATAGTAAATAAAACTGGAGATTCTCTAATTTCCTAGCAGATAYAACTGTAATTGTGTCTATGTTTAAAAAAAGCAGGAAAATGCTTGTGACAAATGACAAAGCAAATTCTAAATTGATATAAATTTCATTGGGTTATTGAAAAATAAGATTTTGCCCAACCCTAGCACTGTATTGAACTTAGTACATTAAAATACTATTAGACTATGTTGATTTTATTGAAACACCATCTGCTTCTCTTGCTCTTAGTTCATTACAAGACAGTGAAAACTCATTTTAGTACTTGAAAAATGGCTTTGGGTCAGCATTAACAAAAATGAAAAGTTTTACCGACAAGCATCTAGGTTAACAGCTGGAGCTTGTAACAGCTTGAAGTTTTCTTGATTTAATATGATTTATTTGGGTAAAATGCCTGAGATGGCTTTTTGCTGTGACAGAGAACAACACAACCACTTGTTCTGAGAAAAGACAGATGGGTTTAGTCCCTATACATCTTGAAAAGCCCTCAGTAAAAGATTAACAGATCTTTTGATCAACTAAAGGGCAAGTCTGAAAAGCCTTTGTGCAGCTGACGCAGTCTTTTAATTAGAACCTCATTCACAGTTCCAACCAGTTTGCAGATGAGAAACTGGTAAAATAGATTTTATATTAAATTTGGTGCACGTAAACTCTTAAAATCCAAATTATAACTAAATCACCATTGCTTTTATTTGCAGGAGATTTTGGAGGAGGTGCGGAAAGAACTGCAAAAAGTCAAGGAGGAAATTATTGGAGGTGAGATGTTTTAACTTTATATTACCCTGATCWAGAAATAATTTAGGTATTTATCGTTCATTTCTCCTCGCTCTCTTYCTTTCTCCACAGCCTTTATTCAGGAGCTGCAAAAGAGAAACACATAGTTCTGCTGCGTGTCAGGTGCAACAGAGGGGTGCGGTACACGGAGRTGTTTGAGGCACATTGGGACTTCTCCTCCACCGTCCTCCCCTCTTTTTGTATAGCCCAGGGATTTCTCTTCCATCTTTTTTTTTTTTTTCGTTTTTTTTCTCTCTTTCAAATCTTACACAAAACCCATGAGAATTCTCATTTTATTTGTACAACAAACATRTTCACTCGTTAACATTGATCCAGGGATTTCCTCATGTCTCCATCCAGCGCTTGGGCCGATCAGTCATTAGTGACACGTCGGTCGATTCAGCCGATCTCATTGTTTTCTCTATGATTTGCTCACCAGAAGCAAAGAGCACAACGCTTCAGCTGCTTCTGCAGTTAGTCATCACTGTGCTGCAGAAATCCTCCTACTTGTGTCCCCGCTCTTCTGCTGTCAGAGGCATCATTACTGATAGAGCATTCTTCAGTATTCAGGGACAGTGTATTAACTGTATTTTTACTGTAATAGCACATCGTTTGTTTGTTTGTTTTTCTGCCACACTTGTTCAAATATTTGCCTGTAGGTTATGGTCTCCAATGGTAGTAGAAGGTGATGCTGTCAAAGTTGAGCAAGGGAAAGGCGCAGCCATCCGCAGCTTGCAGCACGTTCCCATCAAGTGGAATTTCAGCTCCAGGAGCAACAAATAGAATTCATGACACTCGCCTTCAGTGCTGCGACTAAAGACGCCGGAGGAAGAGGAGCAAAAGGGAATCTGATGGACGACCCGAGTGCTGTGAAAGAGGACTGTAATAGTTTTATAAAGTGTCAGAAACTGATTTTTTTTCTCTTTGCATTGCACTTGTTCCGGAGGGAGTGTGTCTGTGCGCCACACTGCCTTCATAGATTTTTTTCCCCCCCTCTCACTCAGATTGAGCCGTTTACCTGTTGGCCAATGCAGCCGTCCCACTGCATACTGTGCTTCCGCCAGTTGTTTTTCTTTAATTCTAGATGKTTTTTTTTTCTTTTCTAATTTTGAAACGTGAAAAAAAATGGCCATGATGAGGTCAAATAATTTGGCCATGACAACTGCCTTGAGAATATATAAATATATATCTATATATAAGG